GGCGCTGACGGGGCTCCCTCCAGCCAGCGGGACATCGATTGCGGGGAAGTGGGTCAGGGCGGCCGAGCGGCACCACCCCCGACGGCCGGTCTGGCCGGCCGCGCCGTGCTCATCACCGCTAATGGAGCCGCTGCAACAGCGTCGGCTGCGACCATCAGGCGCAGACAGCGGACCCGGCGGCGCCTCTGGCGGCGCGGGCGTGCCCAGAACCCGCTCGGCCCAGAATCCAGCGCAGCGGACGACGATCTGGTCCGTGACCATGGCGGCCCAGAGCAGCGGGTGAGCCGCCGCCAGCGTCCGACGAGACCCAGCCCGATGCTGCTACCGACTGCACCGGGGAGAGCTGAAAGCCAGAACCACGAAGCTGCCAGCGTCAGACGAGACCCAGCCCGATGCTGCTACCGACTGCACCGGGGAGAGCTGAAGGCCAAAGCCGCGGAGCTGCCAGCGTCAGACGAGACCCAGCCCGATGCTGCTACCGGGGAGAGCTGGAAACCAGAGACGCGGAACTGCCAGCGCCGCTCGCAAGAAGTCGGGCTCACCACCGAAGCCTATTCCGTGACATGGGCCCGCATGAACACTGCCGCCGGTAACGCACATACACACGCACGCACGCACGCACGCACGCACGCACGCACGCACGCACGCACGCACGCACGCACGCACGCACACAACACACACACACACACACACACACACACACACACACATGCGCAAACGTTCAGAACCCGGAAAACGCGACGCGATCTTGCAGCCCCACTGGGACCTGAGTCACACGTAGAGCAGGTCCCGTTAAGCCATGCAGGCTTCGAGCTGACATCCGCTTGCCCCAGTATTTCCCAACGATCAAGAAACCGAGCTTTGCGCAGACTGAAGTCGGCGGCGCGCGGATCAGTCTACCTCCATGACGGTGTCACGGGTGAAAGTGGTGAAAGATACCCACTCTGGTGAGCAAGTCTTCGGGAATCGCTCGCCTTCACTGGGACAACGCAGGCCGGCGATGGCGACGGCTGTCGATAATGGAGTGACGCTTGCACGGCGCATACAAGCAGCTCTTTAACCATGCTAGAAGTGGAACAGCAGTTCGAAACACTTATCAGTAACAAGGTGCCAACTCTATGCTCCAATCTACCCGCGAAACGATTTCCACAGCTTCGAGTACGATCATCTCAGACCGGGAAACGACGACCGGCGACGAGCTGCCGCTTCGCCGGAACGCAAGCGAAATGTGCCCACGATAACGGACTTCCGGCCCCCATGAGCCCGCTCAGTTCACCACAGAGCCGGATCGCGGCATAGCCACCCGCGCACCAGCACCTGCGCCGGCCGACGCGACGGCCCGGCCGGCAGCCAACGGGGTTATCGCCTGCGTACCAGCAGCAGCGCGGCTGCAGCAGACATTATCAGGCGAGCGGCGACGGCCGAGTCCGTCACCCAGACGGCCTGGCAGCGGCACGGCAGCGGCGGCGGCCGCGGCAGCGGCGGGGGCCGGTAGGGCCCTTGTTCAGCAGCGGCCGACCAGCGCGGACGTCTGACATCGGCGCGGTGGGGCTTCCTGCCGCCGCCGGGCGTCGGCAGCTGTGCCCCGGACCGACCAAGCGGCTCAGACCGGCATCGATTGGAGCGCGCCGGAACGGCCCGTCGAGGCGCGCAGCCTCCGGCCGGGGGCTAACCCCAGCACAGACGACAGTCACACAGACGGGCGGCCGGCGGCGCACTGCAAGAGCGCAGAGCCGCCCCGAACCCTGATCACGTGAAATTGGACAGTCAGAGGACGTGATCGACCGGCACAAGCGGCAGTGCCGGCAGAGCGCCACGGCCGCGGCCGCGGTTCGGGTCCGAGGTCAGGGGGTCGCGTCGCGCCGGCCCAACACACACGGACGGAGGGCGCCGACTCATGGAGGCTTGCGGCGGTCTCCGGTTCCCACGGGCACTCGCTCCGCGCCGGACTAAAACGGCCGACGATTGAAACCGAGCTTAGGCAGCTGGCAATGGCTCGGCCAGTCCAGCCTGAGACCGAGGCAGGATCCTGCAGCGCTCCAGGCCGAGGCCGAGGCAGGACCCAGTCGCCCTCCAGGCCAAGGCCGAGGCAGGATCCTGCAGCGCTCCAGGCCGAGGCCGAGGCAGGACCCAGTCGCCCTCCAGGCCAAGGCCGAGGCAGGACCCACCAAACCGAGACGGAGGCAGGACCCCCAACACCAACACGGCAGACCGCGACAGCTTCCACCAGTGGATCCCGAGACCAAGATAGGACCGACCATTATGCAGACAAGTGAGCCAAACGATATGATGGCTTCTACAAAGGCCGCTAGATGATACCATAGCGCGGCGCGGCAGACCAGAACGTTACGGTAGCAAGCTGGGATACACCCAGAATATCAATGATGGGGATCGGAAGACTACCTACGCAGTACGCCTGGCCACCATGGCAACGCGCGTTTCAGCCGCACAGCACACCAGGACGCTCAAAAGGCACATCAGATCAGGGCACTCCGGCAGCGCGGAGGCGCCGAACCCGGTGCGGTGGCATGCCCCAGCGGCACACCACTGCTGGCCGCCTCCAGCCGCTGCTGATAGTCTCCAGCAGCGGACGAAATGCACAACTCTGCCGCGCAGAAACTCCAGACGCCTGAACGCCACGGCAGACCAGGGCGAGGCCCGGGCAGCCCAACCGGGCGCCGCACCGGCACCTCACACGTGGAACGTGCCACTCCGGTGATGTAACATTCTGCCACCACGTTGTCTGCTGGTGCTGTCGTGGTGTCGTGCAGGGACCTCCTCGGGACGCCTTGGGGCGTCCCGGTCCGCCGAGGACGCACTAAAGAGGTGGCCGAAGCCGTACTGGGGCGGTAGCCGGAGATGCACTGGGGCCGTTTTGGGGCCGTACGGGGGCGGTGGCCAGGGCAGCACTTGACCGCGACCGGCCTAGCTGGGATTGCGCTGAAACCGCGCCCGGTGTTGTGCTACGGACCAGGCCGTCTCCTGAACGTTCAAAAAGAGCGGTCACGTGCTGCAAAGGTCAAGTGTTGCGGATATTTCGTGACCTGCCATGTAAGGACCGTTTTGAAGCCAATGGCAGCCCCGAGGCAGGTCGGTTCTCTACCAGCACATTTTGCCTCTGAGCAGCCTCAACAGCCCTGCTTTATCTGTCAATAAAAAGTCCTGAGCATGCAGTGATTTCAGTAACTCACGACTTGATAATATTACACTCGTCAACAAAAAACTTGCTCCTACCCCTCCCCTGTTTCGAAGCACCCATCATGCTTGGGTTGAGAGAATGGGTTTGATGGGCAGCATAAAAACATACATGCATATATATATATATATATATATATATATATATACATATAATAAGCTGGTGATAACAAAACATATGAGAAGTTGTATGGCATGACATAAAAATACTATTACTGAATACAGATTAGCAGAGATGCTAACCCATTGCTTCATTTTATGAAAGAAGATACAATTAATGCTAAATTTACCCAGAGATAGAAGGTTAGCTCCCTTATCCCTATCAACTTCCAAAAATCTTGCAACTGGCAGAGCCATTGGTACATCCTGGGACATAAACTGGAGTGCATGCACTCTCTCTTCTATGTAAAAGGTGCCCCACTGGCAGTGCAGCACAAAAAATAACTACAAAATAAATAGCTGGATATTTGGAGAACCATGCATGAATGGAAAACACTTGCAAATGCAGCACCATACAACAATATGCAGAAAACAAACAGGGTGGAAATTATGAGCAGCCTAGGCAGAGTTGATAAACCCATGCCAAATACTCCTCATGCCTGTATCTTCTGATCATGCATTTTAAGACATTCCCCACTGTCTGTATGTATGACATAGAATGCATGGCAATTCAGGCAGTTTATAAGTTACTGGACTTGGCAGCCCATTAACTACCTGAGCATATCACTTGCTCATAGATTCTACATTTTTTAGAAGCTTAGCCATTTCATATTTACATTTCATATGGTTTCACACACTGCATGCAAACTGTACAACAAAACAAAAATGATTAGCATTTGTTACTGACTGAGCACATGAACAATCTTATATGGTCCCAAATCACTCTTCTTGTATGTTTCATGCAATTTGGACTTCACTTTACAGCTATTCCCTGAAGTTAGACCACTTAATCTTGAAATGTATTTGTGATATTGAAAAAGTTGAGTAAAACCTAGCAACAAACCAGGTTTCTCAGAGGGATAGATGCATGAGGTGCGTAGAACCTGTCCAAAACCCAGGTTGCAAAAATTCATCAACTGCAAAAGATGCCTGAGTGGCAACAGTGTGCCAAACTGAGGCCAAGCAAATATGCTCAATCCTAAACTTATTCTTGTGTAAGAATGTTTTCAGTGTGTTTCCCTCACATTATCTTCACATCACAATTTTCTCAAGACTTGCTCTCTATCTGGTGAGATGGATGGCAATAGCATTCCAAGCACTAAGCATTATGATCTATGGCACAGCTCTGAAATATTTCCTGTGATGCTGATATGCCAAATATGTGCAACATGCATAATTTTTCCAATCTGACCAAAACCATCTAACATTTTCATGCTTTGCAGATTGAACCCTACATACTACTGATAAGACCATAGATAGTTATCATTTGCTAAAACATTATCTTACCTGCATTTGCCACCTGGGTGCATACTTATATGATGAACATGCCCATGCTTCATTATCATGTTGTCATTAAGCCTGTTTCATTAAAAAAATATCAGCCATATAAATAAATATCAGCCAGCCAGACTACAACAAAGACTGAAATCGATGGATAAAGTTTTATTAAGCCTGGCCACTTTCATACAATTTTCATCTCATGCTGGCAATGCCAACCACACTGCCACATCCACATGCACCCATCTATGCAACAGCTCAGCCACATACACGCGGAAGATACATACATACTTGCTTGAGAACACAAATGACACCATCATACAAGTACCCAAGCATGCATTTTTCCTGGACCGGAAAAAATACCTCACCTTGCTAACCGCCTGCAGCGCCAGCGGCAGTGCAGAAGTACCTCCAGACCGGCAACCAGCCAACCGAAAAGCAATCCTAAAAGGACCTTGACAGACAGTAAGCACGGTGTTCGTCAATCAACAATGTGGGGGATATGCACATCTCCCTCCGCACGAACCCGAACAGACAAACGCCGGCTCTCCCTGCACACTAATGGGACGGGCCAATACGGACCACACACCCCACATGCGGCAATCAACATCAGCTGCGTTTTGTCGTAATATCTCGACCTCAGTCGCCTCGTGCTAAGGTTCAACCGCTTGCATATTACAGCTGTCTAGTGAGCCAATAATAAGTTAGTGTTCAGTATACGGAGCCATAATATAAATTCATAATTGTATAGATACAAAAAAATCATAAAGAGCTGAAATCCTATTCAAAATCTGTTTTCTATACATCAAAATAAGCACGACTGGTTCGAGTCGGCATTTAAAATCCACATACCCATCAAATCATGATACAGATGGGTTAAAGTTTTCTTGTCAGCTGATACAGACATCAAAAGTGAAGAGATGTTGGAAGGGCGGGGTGCAGTTTTCGTGAGTCTGAATATTGACTCATGGGAAGTGCACCAGTTCTGGATCCGTTAGAAATAGGAAAAAGGATAGTATAAAACACAAAAACAAGGCTGTTGTGGATTTATATTATAGGCCAGCATTCCGCCCACTAAGCTGTAACTCTGCAAATGAAAGGAACTCTGTAAAACACTTGTAAAGAAGTCTGTGTCGAATTTGGATGAAAATGTGGAAGTTCTGCCTTCATTTTCAATTTGAATACAATTTCAAGTCTTTTCTGATCGCAACTGTTCCGGCGAGCCTAGGCCACTGTTGCGGCTGTGCTATGCGATCACCCAATGCGGTAATCAGCACTGACCGGCCGTCCGTTCCATTTACTGTGTAAGTTACCGTGTTTGCCTGTGTGCCATGGAAACACAGACGGATATTGTGAGTGCATGTTTTCCTAATTTTGTGTTGCTTTATGCCAGGCAGCATAGGCCGGAAAAAGGAAATATTTTGCGCCGGCCCCCGACGCAGCCGGCTTGACGCCCCCCGTCTCCAGATATTTTTAGAACGTCGCCTGAGAACAAAAAAGAGGCTTGCATTGCCCCACATAAAATATTCTGACCGTTATAGCGCATAGCAAGTGTAACCACTGCCGCGCATTTCAGAGGTCTGATGACCCGAAAACTATGCCGGTAGATTGTGTGATCGCCGGATAGGTGACATCGGGGTCATGTCACTGTTGCAAATGATCGTGGACGCGATACGGATTTTTATGACAGGAGTATTTTTAATTACTCCCCTTTCCGTCCTTCCCTTGTGATTGTAAATTGTATTGACATGCCGATTGGCTGATTTGAACCTTGTCATGAACGCAGTATAGCAGGAGCGTCGGAAACGGGATAAGGAAGGGATTTACCCCTTCCTCGCCCCAGCTTTCTCACAGAAAATGACTGGGTGGACCATGCCGCTGCAGCGAGGATGGGCACCGACGCTGGTGACGGGTGTGTAGGGGTGGATCCAGAGGTGGGGGGGGGGGGGCGGATCATGTCCCCCTGTGACCCCGAGGGAGCCGAAATGCCACGAAGGGCTACCGACCGGCTAGGCTAGGCTAGGCTACCGAACATACGCAGTTGTTAAACCCAACGCAACAAAATTGGACGTCTTGGGGCTTCTGGTCGAACAAGAACATTCGCAGGCGAAAGTGTACGGCCCATGGAAAAACAAAAACAATTATTCACCGACTTATAGGGTGGTGATTGGGAGATTTTTAGACTCATTACGCCGCCCAGAGGCCCTATGCGGTTTCCAGGGGCCGTATACGTCTACCTGCAGAGTCAGTCCGATCGGCAAGGAGCCTTCCACGTCGCCCTCGATTTCTTTGCGTTTGCCCGACGGGACCTGCGCTGTTGCCAGGCCCTTCCTGCTAATGTGCTGGGGCACTCTTGTCAATCAGAGTTCTTCCACGGATCCTTCCCATCTGTCCGAAAGGCGATGTAGGTGTACTTTCCTACCTAATGTTAGACAAAATCACTGCACGCCATTCGTCGTGTTTAAGGCGGCACATATCATTAATAATCTCAAAACAGGTAGAATCATGCTCCTACCTTCGAACTTCAATAACTGTGGCGGCGAGCTCCCGAGCGCCGCGCGCACTGCACCGCCTGGACTCCCCAGCGCCGTTTCTGCATTGCCGTTGCGTAAATACAATATTTCTGCTTACAGGTGCCGTATAGCGAGCTTTTGTTTAGCCGCCATGTTCTCATTTTGCTTTACATTCCCCACCCAATCCCCCTGCAACCCATCGTCCCGTTGGCGTCGAGGATCAAATTTCATGGGTTCTTGTTACCTTGGCCCGGTACATTTTTATGGTTCTTGATGCTGCTTGATGCGCAGTAATGTGACCGCGCGCAGTAATGGCGCCGGTGTCGCGGCTGCTGTGTTTGTGCGGCACCCGGGAGTCCGCCATCGTAATTATAAAAAAAATCGAGGGTGAATCTAGGAATCTGAACCTGAATCCAGGCATGAATCTACCTGTTTTGTGATTATTTACGATATGTCCTGCCTTAAACACGACGCATGGTGTACAATGATTTTTTTCTAACGTTAGGCAGGAAAGTACACCCTGACCCGAAAGGCTCTGCGCTTTAGCCGGGGGCCCCATATGTTAACCTGCTGGGACATTCTCGGTTGCTCAGGAGCCCCTCACGTTGGTCTCGGTTAACCTACCCGCGCACTCACGGTATGCTCATCGGCCGTCTAGATTGGTCTAGGGCCCTTCTAATTCTCTGTGACTTACTTAGGGCCCTACACTCCTGTCGGGGTCCCTATCTGATTGCCTAGTCGGGTACACTCTATTGTTCGGGGCCGATCTATCTTGGGTATTGGGTATTTCCTATCTGAATGGAGGGCTCTGCACTCTTGTTAGAGGCCCCAAGACCTTATAGAGCGCCCCATCCGTTAACCTGCTCGGGCGCAATCGATCTTTCCGGAGCCCATCGTATCGTGTCTCGGGTATTTCGTATTTGAATGGATGGCCATATGTTCCTGTCGCGGCCCACCTATAAGCTGCCCGTGCCAGTTGTGCATCCAGAAGGGAAGGGGGGGGGGGGGGGGCGCTGGACCATGCCCTCCTTGTGCCCCGAGGAGACCATAGACTTCGAAAGGCCCATAATTGGCCCAACTGACACAGTTCTCTTGCAGAAAACACAAATAACTTGGACCTCTTAAGGTTTCCAGACGACCAAGAACAGTCACCAGCAAAAGTGGAAAGCTCGTGAGCGGAAAACTTAATTCTTCACAGATGGAGGGGTTGGTGATCGGGGAAAATTGTGGGGCTCATCACAATGTCCAGAGGCCTTGCGCTGTTGTTGGGCCTTATGCTTGGCCAATAGGGTGGACATAGGCCGCGCGGCGTTAGCCCCGCGGCTTCACTAAGCCGTGACCAACAGGTGGACGAAAATGGTGACGCATCTGAAAGAAGCGTCTTTGAACCCTTTCGGAGACCAAATCATACGAAAAAGATATTCCGGGCGTATATTTCACCCGTGCGATCTTAAGATTGATGACAATAACGCATCAGTCTTTCCAGCGCCGCGAAGTGGTACTGAAATTTGGTGGTGGAGCTCGAAGAGTAAAGATAAAATCTCTATTGTCCGTGCTGCTATAGTTGTTAAGCTGTCCAACAATAATAAAAGCAGCCTCAAAGCTGTGAAAAATCACCCAGTGCGATTTTTAAACCGTAAAGTTAATTTTGAAAGGCATGCAGAAACATTATTTCACGAAAGTCATTGTGCGCTCGGCACCCGCCCTCTGGAGTTACTTGCATTGGCCAGCGCCGCTCGGTTTTACGAAAACTACAACCCAAGGCACCGCCGTCATTGCTCCCCGAAACTACGGGCGTGCCACTGGGGCGTTATGACGCACTCAGCTGCTGGGGCCGTATCGCGCCGTCAGCCCCTTACACTGGCGGGAACGGCGAGCACCGCGGGGAATTGTACCCCGTACCTGTGGTTTCCCAGACGCACAATGCTTAACGCAGGCGCGTCAACGACTATACTAATGGCACCCGACACGCAGGCTCATACCTTTTGATGTTATTTGTTTCACTAGTCGTTTACGCAAAATAGTAAACATTCTCAGGGACACATAGGATGGCCTCGTGCGTATTGAACTCATCTCGACCCACCCCATTCGACACTAATGAGACCCCTTATTTCCTTCCGGTAAAGGAGTCCCCTTGAAAACAACACTACGAGGCACGTTGTTGCTCTCGGATAAGGGCTGAATGGCCATTCTGTTCCACTGCGATGTGTTTTCCGGCCGTCATTCTGGCGACACGGAGCGGCATCCCTGGCCGATCCAGAGGCCATTGGAGAGATATATCGTGTCACATTGGTCCGCTCCCTGACGCGGGAGGCCTTCTGACCCGCACAGCTGACTCCGGATCGACACAGGGACCCTCATCGACGCAACAACATCCTGATTGTCACAGGTGGTCCAATATTTGGCGCATAGTCTCCAGTTCGGCTTGACGGGTCCATGCTGGAATTGGGCTGAAGGCCCCACCGTTCGGTACAGGAGGCCCTGAATGGCGCAGAACCCTTTCATTGTCTTAATGTGTGCATTTATCATAAGTTATAATGTTTCCTGTCATAGGGCACAGGACAACGTAAGAGGTCCTCGATCACTTGGGCTCCCGTCCTCGTCCCTGTTGAGTAAATGTTCCACTGACACACTCGAGGCCCTTGTGAACACAGAACACCGTCAGGCAATCGGCCCCTGACCGACACAAGAGCCCCGAATAATTGCAGGAGCTCCGACCTATGTAAATCGTGGGCCCGGCGTTGTCCTTGTTCGGGAAATGGGCTCAAAACTCGGACCGACACGGAGCCAAGTGTTCGTTGCTCGTGATCTCTGGCCGAAGTAGAGGGACGCTCTGTCTCAGGGGTCCCTGTCGGTGCAAGAAATCATCTTACTGTTATTTCAAATCACAGCCCTATGGGCGGGGGTCCTTAATGTGACCCCCGGACCGTTACTTGAGGGTCCCTCGGACCGTTATTTGAGTGTCCGTCTTTGCAGGTCGGGGCCCTTGAAAAGAATCCTACCAGTCCTTTATCCTCTTAGACCCTCCAGTCGGGCCCTTGATTGTCGGATCGGGTGGACCCTCTAGGCTCTTCGGGCCTCCTCCAATA